GGGGGTGGAGAGTGGGGGTGGAGAGTGTGGGTAGAGAGAGTGGGGGTAGAGAGTGGGGGTAGAGAGAGTGGGGGTGGAGAGTGGGGGTGGAGAGTGGGGGTGGAGAGAGTGGGGGTGGAGAGTGGGGGTGGAGAGTGGGGGTGGAGAGAGGGGGTGGAGAGTGGGGGTGGAGGGTGGGGGTGGAGAGAGGGGGTGGAGAGAGTGGGGGTGGAGAGTGGGGGTGGAGAGTGGGGGTGGAGAGTGGGGGTGGAGAGAGTGGGGGTGGAGAGTGGGGGTGGAGAGTGGGGGTGGAGAGTGGGGGTGGAGAGAGGGGGTGGAGAGTGGGGGTGGAGAGTGGGGGTGGAGAGAGGGGGTGGAGAGTGGGGGTGGAGAATGGGGGTGGAGAGTGGGGGTGGAGAGAGTGGGGGTAGAGAGAGTGGGGGTAGAGAGAGTGGGGGTGGAGAGTGGGGGTGGAGAGTGGGGGTAGAGAGAGAGAGAGAGGAAGGGCCGGATGAGTGCCCACCCTGAGACAGAGCGAGATGAGACAGAGGCAGAAGAGAGTAAGAATAAAAAGAAACAAGAAAATGAAGAGAAAAAAAAAGATGACTAAAACATAAATACACGAACGTAAACAAATAGAATGAAAAATAAATAAAAAAACAACAAAAGAAACGAGATACAAATTAAAAAAAATAAACAAAAAGAGACACAGAGAGAGAGAGCGGAAGAGGGCAGGAAGCGAGGGATGAATGCAAGAGGCTGAGAGAGGCGAGGGGGGTGAGGGAGAGAGACAGGGAGAGAGAGAGAGAAAGGAGAGCGCAGAAGCAGTGCGTGGTGAGGGTGGGGGGAGGGAGAGAGAGAGAGAGCGAGAGCGGGAGGGGAGATGCAAGGGAGAGAGGCGAGCGTTTACACATTTGTGAACTGGGGGTGGGGGGTGGCAGAGGCTGAAGGATTTAGACGAGACACGCGTACACACCACGGACACGCGTACACACCACGGAGACACGTGTACACACCACGGAGACACGTGTACACACCACGGAGACAATGAGCACGCAGGCAACGAGGCTGTGTCCGCGTGTGCAGACGACGCATTGGTGGTTTCTCAGCCAGCAGTGAATTGATTGCTGGCCACATACAAAGAGATAGCACAGAGACACACACAGACACACACACAGATACACACATAGACACGCACAGACTCACAGAGACAGACACACAGAGACACACACAGAGAGACACACACACAGAGACACACAGAGACTCACAGAGACACACACACAGAGACACACACAATCACAGCGACACGCATGATTACAGAGATACACACACAATCACACACGCACAATCAGACACACGCGCGCAGAGAGACCCACACAAGATAATACCGTGGATTGGACGTGGTTGGATTCCTAGCTAAGGTCAGTGTCTGTGTACGTGTGGTACACGTGTGGTGTGTGTACACGTGTGTGTGGTACACGTGTGTGGTACACGTGTGTGTGGTGTACGTGTGTGTGGTACACGTGTGGTGTGTGTACACGTGTGTGTGGTGCACGTGTGGTGTGTGTACACGTGTGGTGTACACGTGTGGTGTGTGTACACGTGTGGTGTACACGTGGTGTACACGTGTGGTGTGTGTAAACGTGTGGTACACGTGTGTGTGGTGTACACGTGTGTGGTGTACACGTGTATGGTGTACACGTGTGTGGTGTACACGTGTGGTGTACACGTGTGTGTGGTACACGTGTGTGTGGTACACGTGTGTGTGGTGTACACGTGTGATACACGTGTGTGGTGTACACGTGTGTGGTGTGTGTACACGTGTGTGGTGTGTGTACACGTGTGTGGTGTGTGTGGGGAGCGATAGTGTAGCGGTTAGCGCGCTGCACTATGAACCTGGCGACCCGGGTTCGATTCCCGCTCACGGCCAACACCAGTGACGATTATCTGAACCGGTCCTGGGCCTCCCCTAGGTCGACTCAGCCTCAAATGAGTACCTGGTGCGGTGTGTAAACATTGCCACTGGGGAGACAAAGGCGGTCGGGCGTGGTGCTGGCCACCCACCCCCTCGTGTACCGTTCTGGCCTTCATAGGTGCTCGCTAACAGCACTTGCCCCTACAGTCTGTTACAGGCTATATGGGGGATCTTTGTTTTCTTCTTTGGTGTGTGTACACGTGTGGTGTACACGTGTGTGGTGTACACGTGTGTGGTGTACACGTGTGGTGTACACGTGTGTGTGGTGTACACGTGTGTGTGGTGTACACGTGTGTGTGGTGTACACGTGTGTGTGGTGTACACGTGTGTGTGGTGTACACGTGTGGTGTGTGTACACGTGTGGTACACGTGTGTGTGGTACACGTGTGTGTGTGGTACACGTGTGTGTGTGGTACACGTGTGTGTGTGGTACACGTGTGTGTGGTGTACACGTGTGTGTGGTGTACACGTGTGTGTGGTGTACACGTGTGGTACACGTGTGTGTGGTGTACACGTGTGTGGTGTACACGTGTGTGGTGTACACGTGTGTGGTGTACACGTGTGTGTGGTACACGTGTCGTGTGTGAACACGTGGTGTACACGTGTGGTGTACACGTGTGGTGTACACGTGTGTGACCAGTGACGATGATCTGAACCGGGTCCTGGACCTCCCCTAGGCCGACTCAGCCTCAAATGAGTCCCCGGTGTAGCGGTGTGTCGTAAACATCGCCACTGGGGAGACAAAGGCGGCCAGGCGTGGTGCTGGCCACCCACCCCCTCGTGTGCCGTGCCGGCCTTCATAGGTGCTCGCTAACAGCACTTGCCCCTACAGTCTGTCAAGGGTACACGGGGGATCTTTTTCTTTGCATCTGGGAGTATCTATCTGTGAGTATGTGTGTGTGTCTATCTGTGTGTGTCTATCTGTGTGTGTCTATCTGTGTGTATCTCTCTGAGTATCTGTGTGTCTATCTGTGTGTGTCTATCTGTGTGTGTATCTGTGTGTGTCTCTATCTGTGTGTGTCTATCTGTGTGTGTCTATCTGTGAGTGTGTGTCTATCTGTGCGTGTGTGTCTATCTGTGCGTGTGTCTATCTGCGTGTGTCTATCTGTGTATGTGTCTATATGTGTGTGTCTGTGTGTGCCTATCTGTGTCTCTATCTGTGTGTGTGTCTATCTGTGAGTGTGTGTCTATCTGTGAGTGTGTGTCTATCTGTGCGTGTGTGTCTATCTGTGCGTGTGTCTATCTGCGTGTGTCTATCTGTGTATGTGTCTATATGTGTGTGTCTGTGTGTGTCTATCTGTGTGTCTATCTGTGTGTGTCTATCTGTATGTGTCTGTTTGTGTGTCTATCTGTGTGTATCTGTCTGTGTGTGTGTCTATCTGTGTGTGTGTCTGTGTGTGTGTCTGAGTGTACACGTGTCAGTCTGTGAGTGTGTACACGTGTCCGTCTGTGTGTGTATGTACACGTGTCCGTCTGAGTTTACACGTGTCCGTCTGTGAGTGTGTGTACACGTGTCCGTCTGTGAGTGTGTACACGTGTCCGTCTGCGAGTGAGTGTTGGTATATAAAGTGGGTTTGTGTCAACATCGCCACTGGGTGAGACAAAGGCGGCCGGGAGTGGTTGTGCTGGCCACCCACCCCCTCGTGTGCCGTGCCGGCCTTCATAGGTGCTCGCTAACAGCACTTGCCCCTGCACTCTGTCGGGAGATCTTTGTGTATTTGTCTTTGTACGCCTTGAATCTCGTTTTAATTGGCATTTCGAGGCAATTAAACCTAATTGGCATTCCGCCTATTGATACAAAATCCCACAGCATCATCGTAGTCTCAGCTGTTGTGAATGTGCTGGTGTCAGCGTTGTGTGTGTCACCGTGTGTGCGTGTGTGAGTGGCTGGCTAAGGTGCCATCTGTTGAGGAAGTACTGAAGGCGATCCAGAGTCTGAGACAAGGAAAGGCAGCGGGCAGAGATGATCTCCCAAGCGAAATGCTGAGGGAGGGTGGCGTTTGTGCACAGACTGCCCTACATGACATCATAACAACAGTCTGGACCACTGGAGGAATTCCGCAGAATTGGAAGGATGCCCTGGTGGTGGTACCCCTTTTTAAGAAGGGGGACCGCACAGACTGTAACAACTACAGGGGCATCTCACTCCTCTGTGCCGGGAAAGGTCCTGGCAAGGATTATTCAACATCGCCTGTGTTTATATGAATCTGCCTGTGTCTATGTGAATTTGACTGGAGTGAGGTGATGGTGGAGGTGGTGGTGGAGTGAGGTGGTGGTGGAGGTGATGGTGGAGGTGATGGTGGAGGTGATGGTGGAGGGAGGTGATGGTGGAGGTGATGGTGGAAGGAGGTGATGGTGGAGGTGATGGTGATGGTGTTGGTGATGGAGGGAGGTGATGATGGTGGCCGTGATTGGTTGAGCGACTGGAGGAGAGAGCTGGGCTCTTCCCTGGATCTCCCGCTGCCCTCACCCCGTCCCCGTGTCTCGTCGATGTCTTCCCACAACATCATCATCATCAACAACATCAACATCATCAACACCATCATCAACATCATCAACATCATCATTATCAACATCATCAACATCATCATCAACATCATCAACATCAACAACAACATCAACAACATCATCATCAACATCATCATCAACACCATCATCAACATCATCATCATCAACAGCAGCAGCAAGAGGAAGAGGTGGTGGAGGAGGTCCCCTGCACCATCAACACCGTTGAGGGGACACCAAGACATCGGGCGAGGGGGAGCGATTTCTCGCTGCTCACCCGCCTCCACCGCCTCCACCGCCTCCACCGCCTCCACCTACGGCCACGGCCTGGCTCATCATGGCCAGCGCGTGGTGTTGGTGGTGCTGCTGCTGCTGGATGGCGGCCGCTGTGATGGCCGGAGAAGGAGGAGGTGACGGAGGTGGAGTTGTTGGCGTTGGTGGTGGGGGCGGTGGCGTTGGTGGCGGTGGCGTTGGTGGTGGGGGCAGCGTTGGTGTTGGTGGTGGCGTTGGTGGCGGTGGCGTTGGTGGTGGGGGCGGTGTTGGTGGTGGTGGTGGCGGTGGCGTTGGTGGGCCTCCGCTCGTGGTGAGGGTGAGGAGCGTGGGGGGCGAGGTGATCGCCCAAGCGGTCGGCGCCGACAGACCCCGGAGGGCGCCTCCCGGGGGAGGCCCCGGCGGGGGAGCGGGAGAGGAGGCCGCGGCGCGCGGCGGCGGCGGCGGTGGCGGCGGTGGCGGCGGCAGGGACGCGGGGGCCGTGTGGCTCGAGTTCCGCAAGGCCGACGGGACCCACGTGTCCATGAGGGCCGACTTCACTCTGGTGAGACGGCAACGGCGGCGGCGGTGGTGGAAGCGGCGGTGGTGGTGGTGGAAGCGGTGGTGGTGGTGGTGGTGGTGGTGGAAGCGGTGCTGGTGGTGGTGGTGGTGAAAGTGGTGGTGGCGGCGGTGGTGGTGGTGGTGGAGGTGGTGGTGATGGTGGAAGCGGCGGTGGAGGTGATGGTGGAGGGTGATAGTGGAGCGAGGTGGTGGAGGTGGTGGAGGTGGTGATGTTGGAGGTGATGTTGGAGGTGATGGTGGAGGGAGGTGGTTGTGGAGGTGATGTTGGATGGAGGTGATGGTGGAGGTGATGGTGGTGGTGATGGTGGTGGTGATGGTGGAGGTGGTTGTGGAGGTGATGATGGAGGTGATGGTGGAGGTGATTGTGGAGGGAGGTGGTGGTGGAGGAGGGAGGTGGTTGTGGAGGTGATGGTAGATGAAAGGCGATGATGGTAGTAGTGGTGAGCGGTGGTGTAGCGTATAGCGCGCTACACATTGCCATTGGGGAGACAAAGGCGGTCGGGCGTGGTGCTGGCCACCCACCCCCTCGTGTGCCGTTCCGGCCTTCATAGGTGCTCGCTAACAGCACTTGCCCCTACAGTCTGTTACAGCTATACGGGGGATCTTTGTCTTTGTGTCAGAATCAGGATTCCTCGGGTTTCAGTGTGATTAGCTTAGGCTCACAGAGTATGGCTCTCTCATGGTTCCATATTGTTTCAGATTGGTTATCACACAAAATGTGATCATCACCATCATAACCATCACCACCGCTGCTGTCATTCCCACCACCGTCATCACCACTACCACCACCACTGCCACCAACATCACCAATATCGACACCACAAACACCACCACCATCACCACCGCCGCCATCACCACCATCATGACCACCAGCACCGCCGCCACCAACATCATCACTATGATCATCAGCCCTACCTTCCACCACCACCACCATCATCACCACTATCATCTCAACCACCATCCTGACCACCATCACCAACATCACCGCTGTCACCACAACCACCATCACCAAAGACAAAAATCCCCCATTTAGTCTTCGTAGACTGTCGGGGCAAGTGCTGTTAGCGAGCAGCAGCACCTATGAAGGCCGGCACGGCACGCGAGCGGGTGGGTGGCCAGCAACCACCATTATCACCACCGCCATCACCAACATCGCTACCACCTCCATCACCACCACCACCACCACGACCAACGCCACCACCACCATCACCACCACCACCACGACCAACGCCACCACCATCACCACCACCACCACCACGACCAACGCCACCACCACCACCACGACCAACGCCACCTCCGCCTTCCATTGCGCTAACAGACCGGGACTTGAGCCCCTCAGTCTCTGCTGAAGGTCACCCCTTGCCCCCCCCCTCGCCCCTCCCCCCTCCCCCCTCGCCCCTCTCCCCCCCTCTATTGCCAAAGTGACCTTTGTCATCTGGGGGTGGGGGGGGGGGTTGGACGCCGTCAATGTTTGAACAGCGCTCGGCCGGCCCGCAAAACCGCTGGCGGTGCGGCCATAAACTTGTCGCCTGGTCAACTTCTCGGGCGGTCAACTTCTCGGGCGGTCAACTTCTCGGGCGGTCAACTTCTCGGGCGGTCAACTTCTCGGGCGGTCAACTTCTCGGGCGGTCAACTTCTCGGGCGGTCAACTTCTCGGGCGGTCAACTTCTCGGGCGGTCAACTTCTCGGGCGGTCAACTTCTCGGGCGGTCAACTTCTTGGGCGGGTCAACTTCTCGGGCGGTCAACTTCTCGGGCGGTCAACTTCTCGGGCGGTCAACTTCTCGGGCGGTCAACTTGTCGGGCGGTCAACTTCTCGGGCGGTCAACTTCTCGGGCGGTCAACTTCTCTTGCGAGCACCTTCTTGCCCGGTCAGCTTTCTGCCTGGTAAAACTTTTTTTTTGCCTGGTCGGCCGCTCGCCTGGTAAAACTTATTTCCCCCCCCCCCCCCCGGTCAACCCCGCGCGTGGTTCAACTTCTCGCCCGGTCAACTCCTCGCCCGGGCCAATTCTCACGCGGTCAACTTTCTCACGCGGGGCCTGAGCGGGGCGGGGACAGGTGGAGCGTTGTTTGCCCGCCGCTTAGCACTGCCCACGTCCCGCTGCACGCTTCCCGCTGCACGCTTCCCGCTGCACGCTTCCCGCTGCACGCTTCCCACTGCACGCTTCGCAGACTCCCCAAAATCGTGCTGCACAATCCCGATACACGATTCGCACTGCGCACTTACGAGGTCGCAGGCATATCGTGGCGGCGTGAAGTCAATTATCATTGAGAATAATTAGTAACGTACATAATGACATCAATTCATAACAGTAATGCGTTGCAAAGGGGGGTCGTTATGGCGGCCATGTTGCCTGGGGGTCGTCACGGTGGCCATTTTGCCTAGGGGTCGTAATTGGGCCCTTGTTGCCTGGGGGTTGTCACGACGGCAATGTAGCCTGGGGGTCGTCACGGTGGCCATGTTGCCTGGGGGCCGTCACAGCGGCCATGTTGCTATGGGGTCGTCACGATCGCCATGTTACCTGGGGGGGGGTCGTCACGGCGGCCATGTTGCATGGGGGTCGTCACGGCGGCCATCTTGCCCTGGGGGGCGCCTTTCTGGCAGCTGATTGGCTGCTGGTGCAGCGGTAGCGACGACGTCATCCCGTCACGAGAGTGACGCCCGGACGCACTTTGACTTTACGATCCGCGGTGGCTTCCGCCGTGTTGCTTTCTGCCATGACGTTACGAATCGTACGAGCATGGCGCACAACAGCGGTTAGATCGCGTGCACATCTACCCAGCCACCACCCGACATGGCCAGCTCGTGCCAATTCGTTCCTAAGCCATTCGTCACGACGACTTTTGCAGTCTGCCCGACTTAACGCCAATCTCGAGAGCACGCTGCGCACTCAAGGGGACTGTGTTCCGTCACGACGCGGTCCAGGCGATGTTTATTGCTTGGACCCGGCGTGGCATCCATGGTGTCGTGTGGATGCGCCGAGGCCGGAACAGCGTGCTTGGTGATTACAAGAAGTCTGGCGGCCTCCTACCGTTGTTTATTTTTTGTTAATGGATCTGGCCCATGCCTCCCCATCACTCTCCGGCCCACGTGCCTGCGTCAGGACCCCCCCACCCGAGCGTTAAAGTCACTCAGCAGGATGACTCTATCCCCAGGGTGCCACTTTAGCTCGCACCCGTGACGGGGAGGTCATGAAAGGCGTCCGAATCACCACTGATTTTCACCTCCGGTGGGGGACGGCGAGCCACCACCAGCATTCCTTCGCCTCTTGTTTAGGCGGAGGCGAAGCCCAATCGCACCTTCCCGCACCTCGCCGCCACGCTCCCACGCGCCCCCTTAATTCTTTTGTTCAGTAGCAGAGGCACTCCATGTTGTTTGGCAATGTCCTGCACCCCCCCCCAACACCCGAGTGGAGGACCGCCCCACCCCTCGTAGCGAATGGAGCCAGAACCAGAGACCACCGGAACCTGCGGTGTCGCACAGACGGGCAAAAGCGGTTTACCGGTCCAGCTCCCGACGGGCAAACGGCAGCCTCTCCTACGTAGTTCAGCATTCGGGCACTCCCACGTGGCCACTCGTGGTGCTTTCCGATGGGGTGGGGGAGGGGAGGGGGCGGGGTGGAGGGAGGGGGCAGGTGACATCATAGACGCCTGTCCCACTGGGGCGGGATCTCCGGGCTCAGAGTTAACTTTCATCTTTTCTCTGTGGGTGCCTTTGTGATGTAATTGAAGGTGGAGGGGGAGGTCACCAGCACCCGTCCACCCCCAACACCCGTCCAGAGCACCCACCCACTCACTCACCCACCCACCCACCCACTCACCTACCCACCTACCCACCCACTCACCCACCCACCTACCCACCTACCCACCTACCCACCTACCCACCCACCTACCCACCCACCCACTCACTCACTCACCCACTCACCCACTCACTCACCCACCCACCCACCCACTCACCCACCCACCAACCCACCCACCAACCCACCCACTCACCCACCCACTCACCCACTCACCCACCCACCCACCCACTCACCCACCCACCCACCCACTCACCCACCCACCCACTCACCCACTCACCCACCCACCCACCCACTCACCCACTCACCCACCCACCCACTCACCCACCCACTCACCCACCCACCCACTCACCCACCCACTCACCCACTCACCCACCCACCCACTCACCCACTCACCCTCCCACCCACCCTCCCACCCACCCCACCCACCCACCCCACCCCACCCACCCACCCCACTCACCCACCCACCCCACTCACCCACCCACCCCACTCACCCACTCACCCACCCACCCCACTCACCCTGAGCACCAGCCATGTCTGTGATGGTGTCAGGAGGGTAAACAGCTGATCGGTGTCAGCCGTTCCCCAACCGCCTGTGTGGTGTCGCGCGTGTCGACCAGCCCAGCGTTAAAGTTCCCACTACTCCACCAGGACAATGGTCAAGGTCCCCCGTGTAGCCTCGACGCTGTTGGGGCGCAAGTGCAGTCGATGCGGCGGCCAGGCATCACGCCCCCCGGCCGCCTTTGTCTCCCCCGGCGGCGATGGTTACCACGCACCGCACCGGGTACTCGCGTTTTAAGGCCGAGTCGACCTAGGGGGAGGCCCAGCACCCGGTTCAGATAAATCGTCACCGGTGTTGGCCGCGAGCGGGAGTCGAATTCGGGTCGCCGAGTTCGTAGCGCTAACCGCTGCACCACCGCTCCCCACTTAAACATAAAGACAAAGATCCCCCGTGTAGCCTGTAACAGGCTGTAGGGGCAAGTGCTGTTAGCGAGCACCTTTGAAGGCCGGCACGGCACACGAGGGGGTGGGTGGCCAGCACCACGCCCGGCCGCCTTTGTCTTTCCAGCGTCGATCTTTACCACATCGCACCAGCTACTCATTTGAGGCCGAGTCGACCTAGGGGAGGCCCAGAACCGGTTCAGATAATCGTCACCGGTGCTGTTTGTGACCGTGAGCGGGAATCGA